CCGACCACTTCCGCTGCTGTCACTACTGATGCAGTGCGAATTTCGTGTACTAAACACTATTTTACACTATTTTTTACTATAAAACTCTTTCACAACCCGTCGCATTACTTGTCTAACCCTTACTCGTAATTGCACTCCCTTTGCCACTTTAAAACCTAAAATACATATGTACATTGTTGCTAAATGCTGGGTACGATGCAATTTCGCACTGTGTGTAACCGGAAAAAAATGAAACATTACAATATTTTTACATAATCAGATAAGAGACGCAGTGTGCGATTATTTTAACCGATAACTCCATACTTTTCAATACACTTACGCTGCAGCAGCGCAGTCATGCCCTTAACGGAAAATATCTGGTTAGGCAGTGAGTGCTACTTATATATGTTTATGTATATACACCACAATATACAATATGCATACATACATACTTACGTTCAGCCCAGCCAACCAACCAACCCACTGTAAACCACTTCTGCCGACTGCTGACTGCTGACTATCAACGCACCAACCAACCGTTGAATCAACCACCACCTTTACCTCCACCTTTACCACCACCTTTCGCAGCCAAGTATTTGATTTAATTCCTTTTTTTTCATATTATTCAATTTATTTGCTTTGCAGCGCTTCCAACGCATCGCTGAAGGACTTTGGTGGCGAAAATTTCTGGCTAGGCCTATGTACATACATGCAGTGCCGAAAATATAAATAGGGAAGAGGCATTTAAGCATTTTTGGCTATTTTCCATTTGTTTATTTGATGTTAAATGCTCGTTATCCAACAAAAACCATTTAAGTAGAAATTTTTAACTTTGTACAAAAAATTGGAAAATTCGACCAAGTTTCATCAACATTTTTTTAAATTTGATTTTATAAAAACATTTTGAACAAAACAGTTTTGTAGCCCATTTAATTCTAGTACCACAAAGTGCAAGTTTGAAGTAGCTAGGACTTACCGTTGATTTTTGGCATTTATTTTTGTGGAAGGTGTATAAAAAAATTGTTGAACATATTTTATATGGAAGAAACAAAAAGTGAACAAAAAATTGTCAAAAATCAACGGCAAATCTTAGCTACTTCAAGCTTGCACTTTAGTACACTAAAATTTAATTTCTATAAAATCCGATTAAAAAGTTCAAAATTTTTGTGAACATTTGTTAACATTCGTCGAATTTTTAAAATGGTCTAAAAAGTTTGAAGTTTTGATTTACACGGTTTTTTTTTAGATAGCTATATTTCAATAAGAAATAAACATTTTTTAAACAAAGAAACATAGCCACAACTTGCTAAACTGTCTCTTTCCTATTTACATTTTCGCCACCGTAGTTATGTACACACATATAAGTTTGTCGTTATTTAAATGCGTAACTAAGATTGTTTGTGTTAGTGAGAGCATTTCTGTATACATTTGTATTTACAAATGCACGTAAGTATATACATAAGTGTGTAAGTTGGTGCATATGTTACGCTATAGGCTTATCACTTGCGAAAAATCAACGTTGATGCTAGAAAATGCGCTTCATTGCGCTACAATTACAATATTAAGTTACTTTTTTGATCAGTGGAAGGGTGCTTAGCATCATGCTACCAACAAACGAAACTGCATACATATGTATGTACATGCATTCGAAACCATACAGCCATCCATTGAAAAGCAAGTCTTTCAGCCGGCTAGTCAGCCAGACAACCAACCAGAGTTATGTAAATAGTCGGAAGAAGAAAATCAAAGTACTTACTTTCAAAGTACCAGGGCGAGAATTACGTAGTCGCTAAATGGGATGCAAATGGGGGAAATAAGCATATAGACTTATGAACATATGTATGTATATTGGACAGTGGGACAATGAACGATAAAAAGCCTCAAAGGGCAGCCACATTTTGTATATCAACGGTTCCAAGACTTACTGTGGCATCAGGGCAGGCGTCTATGTCATACAACACAGAATGCTACTTTTCACTAGCATGCGGTGAGTGTACTCTGTTTTTAAGGTATAAAGCTCAGTTAGTCGTCTATATCCAGATATAGTAATTCCGCTAAAAAGGCAGCGAAAATTACTGGACCGACACGGAAAATATTGATAAGGAGAGCCCACGAACTCCTTCGCCTTCCTAGGAGCGAAGTAGCAATTTTTTTTACTGGCGGTGAAACACTTGTCAAACCCTCCGAGCAATGCAGGTTCGGTATGTTGCGAGGAACAAGAAACATCAGACTACAACATGTGCCTTTGCGTAGTCCATTCTAGGCTCAAACTTTGTTGTCTAGAAGCCCCGTAGTTCGAAGCACATAATCTAGCAGGGCACAGACTAGGGGTGTCGCAAGGTATCAAAGAAGGCCGGTTATGCACTAAAATGTTTTCTTGACAAAATATCTATATTTTTTCTAAGTTGGAAAACATTTTTTAGTTTTTCAATAAGTTGAATATAAATAAATATTTTATTCTGGACATATTTCTAAACCGATTGCCACATTTTCAACAAACCAGAAATTTTTTCCTCAGCAAGATCTGAAGCAATATTTTCTCGTAATTTGTTGCAAAAAAACACAGTAAGAATCCCTTTCATGTATGGTTAACTCGAGGTCAGAAATACGAAGGTTTTTGCGTTTTATGACAAAGCGAACATTTTGAGTTACGAGTAAATAATATAAATTTAAAGAATTGCGATAGCTATTTAAGAACCTAAACTAAAGAACTAAATTTAAATTTTTGACAGCATACTTGGATACCAGCATGTTCCCTGGAAAAGCTTTGAATTTTGTTGGAAACTCTGACTAGTTTTCATTTCATTTTTGCGTTTCAGGAAAGACACGCAACGCTATGGCCGTTTTCGGAAACACCATGGAGTTTTTTTTTTTTGAATATCCCCCTTATGTAAATGCAAGTTATGGAACTAGATATGCATGTAATTTTTTTTTAGAAATTACGTTTACAAGTTTGCATTGTTTGCCGAGGGTTTTATGAAAGGATCTTTCATGAATCAAAAATGAAGCCAATGGCTAACGGAACAATAGTAGGCATCTGAATGTAAGGAACTAGCAATGCTTCAAGTAAGTAGGCAAACTTGTTGGGGTTGATAGATTCCCCTCTTCTCTTACTACTACTTTTTTTTTTAATGAATTTTCATAATGTATTTGTCAATGTTGTTGTGGCTTATTAACATTTTATTTTTAATATTTTTATTTAGCTTTGTACCACGATTGTTTATTAGGAAACATTGAAGTTATAACAGATCACCGCATCTCCTCATCAGACTTCTTTTTTCTAGACTTCAGCAGAGATTACGCAGGTTCGAGCCCTGCTGAAGTCTAGAAAAAAAAAGAAGTCTGATGAGGAGATTTGGTGATCTCCGAAATAGCTGCTATAACTTCTACCGCTTAGACGTTGATGCTTTTTTTTAATTTTTCCTAATAAACAATTGCGGTACAAAGCTCAATAAAAATATTAAAAATAGAATTTTCATAATTTTTGTCAAATTTCCTTTGCATTTTTCACAAAACCAAATTCGGCAAGGGCTGATGGAAATTCACTCCACAATAAAGCAGAAAAATTTACATATTGTATATTTTAATATTAAAGTAGTTATTGTTGTTTTGTTTTACTTTGCATCGTAACTGTTAATTATGGGGTTTGTTTCTACCATCGAGCAGTACTTACGTCTCCAAAAAATTTAGTGAAAAAGAGTAAAAAATTTTAACACAACACACATATATACATTACCGGTCATAAATATTTGCCCTGAGAATTTTTCACAACATATGAATAATTTTTAGCTTAAATTTCATTCGCAAGTTTTTTTTAAAAAAATACGGTTATTTCCATGCAAATTTCCATCTTTTTAATAAATTTTTTTTTAAATTTATTTTAAGGTGCAGTTTTGAAGCCCAATATATTTGAGTATCAAAAAATGCAAGTTTGAAGTTTCTAAGTTTTATTTTCATTTTTTGAAAGTGTTTCGCATTTTTTCCATGCAAAGTATTTTCCGATATTTTCTTCTTATGGAAGAAAATGCCTGCGAAAAAATCAACGGAAAGTCCTAGCTACTTCAAACTTGCACTTTATGGTAGTAAATTAAATAAGCTACAAAATTGCGAACTCAAAAAATTTCTAAAAACTCTGATAAAAAGGTGGAAATCTGCATGAAAATTTATTAAATATACCAGAGCTTTGCACAAAGTTTAGAAATTGTTTTTTTTTGTAGTTGTAGTATTAACCATATTTTTATTAAAAAACTGCCAAAAAAAAATTAAGATAAAAATTTTTGCATATGTTGTGAAAAATTCTCTGGGAAGATACTTTTGGCCGGTAGTGTACATACATACGTATATACATGTGTCGGTATATAGTATTTTAGAAAATTGTAAACGACTCCAAATTTTCAGTAAAGTGCCTCGTGTTCACAAGACCAATATATGTACATATAAAGGGCGTGCGAAAGGGATAGAATAAGAGAAAAAAAGTATTTGAGTGGTTGCAAACTATGCGTTCTACGGAGGCCGCTTTGTGTATCGAAAAATGCAACAAATAAGAAAATTTAGAATAAGCGCGAAATGGCGACAAAAGAGAAATCAGAAAAGCGAACAGTATCCTTTACATTAGCTGATTTTGGGTAGCCAGGCAGGAAAAGTAGTAGTTGTCCCTACTTCCGCACACAGCTAGAGCAGCAGCTAAACGTTGCCGCA